TATTCTTCATGAAGAGAAATCTTGAAGCTTGTGGTATATCTGTAGCAGGGTAATGCAAGCCAAGATAAGGTTCTAGTTCAGGCGTACGACATTCAGCAACTACTTCCCCGTGTTCATCCTCGTGGAATTTATAAACCATAACACGATCATAGCCAGTCAAATGACTCACTTCTCTAACTAACACATCACATAACAATGATATATCCCCGCTTGGTAGAGATTGCAATTTCCGAATGGCTTTAGCTGCTAGCTTATAAGATTTTATAGCTCCTGCTGTAGTTACAGGGACCTCGTGTGGATCCACAGGCTCCAAATCTATTACTAATCCAACCTCAATGCGGTGCAGAATCGCATAGAAAGGCTTGCCTGAGTTTTTACAATGAACCAAAATAGGATTTAGCAAACTAAGTTCTCCAAAGCTGACTGCTTTTTCAAGGGCAGAAGCACCTGAAGATCGAAAAAGTTTCCTGACATCTGTTCCAAATGTCAGAGCCTCTTGCTGTTCGATGCTTGGAACTGCATGAGGTGTCAAGTCCAACATTTCTGGTGCATTTTCGCTATAGGCTATGACAGCAAAGTTTTGCGCATCAATAGCAATCATGCATCCAAACGGCTGAATTAGACTTCCCCTTTGCATTTTCTGGAGATAATCAGATACAGTTGAAGATGGAACATTGCTAGTGGAATTAGACAAGTTAACTGAACTAGAGTAATCAAATTGTTGCTCAGACTCCTCAAACTCCACATGAAGCTTTGCATCAACTGGAGTCTGAGCAATAACTCTAGCACTACGCCTAGATCTAGCTGAACTGCCCCTTGAGCAATTCGTCTTGTTTGTTGTAGAACTAGAAGACATCTCTCTCTATCCTCAGAATTTCAGTTTCTCTAGCTATCTTTTGTATAGATTCTTAACCAAAATTGGGGATGGAAAAAACTCCCATATGTTATTAGTAAAAGCCTAGAAGAATCAAGAATCTGAAATGAAACAACAAAAAATTGAAGACCAGACAAAAGGTCTCACCTTTTATTTAGAATAAAAATAGTACCAAAATAAGGTGATAAAGAAAAGAAAAGTTACAGCAAGAATCCACCAAATTCAACAAGAATAAAAGGTAAAAGTTGATACCCACTTGAACTACCTTGTACCAATCCAAGATTCCTCCATGTGAACAAGCATCAAAAGCTCTAATTCTTCAACTTATGCTTCTTGATTGTCAATCATTCAGCCAAATCAAGAAAAATAGTCAGCTAAAAATAGAGTCTTTAAGCATATACTTTTGTTGGGGCTTTACCAAAACACCTTTAAATACACTCAACAATGCCACAAACAATTAAATTTGCTGTAACTAATTGACATTTGGTTGTCTACACAGGATGATGCTCCACATGAGACCACAACAGCACTCACAAAATACTTATTTTAGGATTTAAGCCTTTTTTTTTTTTTTGGATTTTCTCCCTGAAAAGGGAAACCACTCTCTGCCACTATTTTTTGTTTGGATGTTCTTTGTTTCTTATTTCGGTTCGATATGCTTTGAGTCGAAAATAAATTTTTTGTGTAATGATAAAAATTGCATATATTTTATTCAGACTTTATCAAGTGGATATGTTATTTATACCGAATATTTCAATTTGTTCAAAAAGAAATAAGTAAATTTTACTTTTGTTTATAATTTTAATTTTTTCATATCATCATATTTAAAATTTTGCAAATGTAAAAGATGTTTGATAGATTTTACTTTTTTTAAGTTAAAAAGATTCAAAAATTATCTTAAATATGTATTAAATTAAAATCAAATAAATAAATTAAGAAAAAAATAATGATTCAATAAATCTAGATAAGAGTTACTATTGAATTTTGTCATCACAATAAGAAAAATTAATAAAAAATTAACAAAAAGGTACATTAAAGCATAAATCAGTTTATTTATTTATTTTCTTCTTGGCTCATCTAAACTTGATAGATTTCTTTTTTCTTATTTTTCAAATTCAATATCTTATTTTATAATAGTAAATTCAGTTGAAAAATCATTTTTATAAAATAACAATAACAGCTGAATTGTAAATGAGAACAAAATTTATTCAATAATTATATACTCGGTTGAAAATTTTGAATATTATAACATACATAAAATGAATGTTGTGGGCAATATGATGAATTATGTTTTTTGATTCAGTTTTCCAACAAAAAAAATTAAAAATGAATGTAAATTTTTACATAAATGTTGTTTTTCTCTCTCTATTTTCTAGCTCTTGTACATATAATATACTATAAATAGATTTGGCTCCTTCTCTTTCGTCCTTTGCCTATAAATGGAGATTTGACTTAATTATCATTCACAACTTGATACAGAGTCGTGTAGACATAAAAAAAATCAAGAATAAAAGGAAATTCTAGGTGATATAAAAAGCTATGGCTATTGCAATACAGGAAATAATATAAATATTTGAAAAGGTCTTTCTCTATTCGTATTTAGGAAATATTTTTCGATTTTTTCATATTCTATTGACCAACGAAATATTAATGTGTAAATTTGCTTTTTTATTTATATGAAAAAAGTTATGAAGCATTTGAATCGATTACTGTTTATATAAAACATCGCTATAAGTTGCTAGTGATATTATGCTTATATGCATATACATATTTTTCAAAGTATTACTTATAGGAGGGAGGAAAGAGGAAGGGAGTAGAGATTCGGGGTGTGTTCGATACGAAATTTCTTAGTTAATTTTGTGTACGATATGTAATAAAAAATATTATTTTAATATAATCTAAACAAATACGATAAAAGATAAATAAGTAGTAGGGAATGAAGGATGGATGAAAATGAGATGTATTAAAGAACATGGAGGATATAGAGCTGTTCAGAGTTAGGGTAAAAAGCGAACCAAATCGATTCTATTTGGATTTGATTTGATTTATTTTATATTTTTAAAGTTTAGAAATAATCGAATCGGGTTAATATTATATACATTATTTATAAATCATATATATGTTTTCATCAAATTTATTTATAATTTAATTATAAGCAAATATCTCTAGTGAGAACATTTATCTTATGGTTTCATATATATAGATGTGTATGATAATCGTGAATTGAAATTGTCATTGTCACTCTCTTCCTTAGCCAAAATAGTGAATTTCGAAGCTTTATTCATAGTAAATCTAGTGATCAAAAATTTTGTGACGTCAGTCATTTTAACTATTTTCGTTTTGGACGTGATTTCCCAACAGCTTCCAAGAAACTAGCACACACGCGTATTCGTTCTGTTTGCAACCAACCACCCTCAATTGTGCTAATATATGGAACTAGATGCACAAAGACATGGCTTTTGACGTCATTTGCGATGAAAACAAAAAAGGCAGCCCGATACATTAAAGCTCCAGAGAAGAACCCTATTGTACAAAGTCTTACCTTGCATTTCTACTGAAGGCTGTGTTCAAGGGTTTAAACCCGTGAACTCTCATCACACGACAACAACTTTTCCATCTAGAAAAGTAAGGCAGGTGCGTAAAATCATACTTGAGTCCAAGTTTTTTCTCAATATAAGTCTGTAATCGGAGACACCAATGTCGCAATTGTTTAATGTGAAAGCTAGCTGAGAACCATCAAGTGAGCACAGTGTGTGCATCTCTTTCAATAGACACGAGCGATATCAGCTTATTCCCTTGAAAACCACACATTCAAGGTTTATGTGCTCTAGTGTCAAATGGACGATACACAGAGATGTTACAGCTAAAAAAAAACAGAGATTAATATCATCAGATGATGAACACTTGTTGACATATGGAAATAAATACGAAAAAGATGCTTTATCTCGACAGGCACAACATTTCCATATCCATAATCTAGTTAGACCACCACTTCAGTAAAACTGGTTCCAGAGAAGAAAATAACGACGACATAAACCTACTAATCCCCTCTTTGTCTGTTAAAATCCTTACGAGTTCTGTGACTCACATAAAACTCATGCATTTCTGTGCAATCACCAGACACTTAGATATTCTAGATGTCCGTTATAGTAAATAATAATGGTATCATGGTTAGCTTCTTAGATATTCTAGATGTCCGTTATATCAAATAACAATGGTATCATGGTTAGCTTGCACGCACCTCAAATAATTGATCAACACATGTACAAGGTAACTCTAGGTTGCTTAGACAGATGAGAAGAAATTACCTAGTATCGCCGGATTTGAACCAAGATTGGTTCACAAGGCTGTTACTCCAGCTCATCGGGTGATAGGCCACCGCCTTGATCAATTTATCCGTATTCTAAAAGTCCATTTTGTTTATGGTACAGGAAAGAACCAATTAATGTTGAAGGAACTATTTTCAGATACACCAACTCTAATGAGTTAAGCAGTTACAAAATCCTGGTCAGAACATAGAAAACAGGCTCTACTTTCAACTACAGCAAGCTGTAAAAATTGAACATAGCTAAGCATTTCTGGAAGTACAGTAAGTAACTAGTAGAGAATTTTCTTCGTTTTGAAAATAAAAAGCTGATATATTTAGCCGAATCCTTTTTGAAGAATCCTTGCAATTTCTGATAAAAAAGTGACTTGCAACCCACCATTTGGTGAGACTATTTTGTCATTGTAGTTGAAGGAACTTAGCAGATAACAAAGGTCACAGTAGAAACTACGTAATGGATGCAACGATTAACATGAGATGATAAATATTTCTAACTCAACAAGGAAAAGCTGCTCAGTATTAAATGAGATGTTCCGCCAGCACCAAGACAACCCTACTGAACGTACTCAGAAACGAAAAACCACACCTGGCCATGAGAACTTAATTTTACTCCCCCCCCCCCCCAAAGCATCGGCATTTTTCTACCATTAATTTAATACCTTATCCAGAAAATATATCTATCACTGCATACTGCCCAAATAAAAGAACCTTAAGAGAGAAAAAGTATCTTGGACAAAAAAGGTTTATAGGTGCAATCAAGGAATTAAAAAACTTACCTATCTGTAAACATAAACAAAGAACTATAAATAAAACAAAATTTAGTATGCATTCAATAATAGCTGGCTGTGAATGTAAAACATAACGTCATTCCTACAATTTTACACACGTGTTACACCTAATAATGATCTGCATGGAAACACAAAGATCCAAACCTTAAAAAGTAGTATGATTGTGAAGCTCAGAGTGCCACCACTATCCAGAAAGGGGATGCAAAACAAAATTTAGTGTGCACTCAATAATAGCTGGCCTGTGAATGCAAAACATAACGTCATTCCTAAAACTTTACACATGTTTTACACTAAAGAGTGATTTCCATGGTTTCCAGACCTTAAAAGTAGTATGGTTGTGAAGCTCAAAATATCACTCTTCAGAAAGTGCAAGACCACCCTCAGACATACATTTTAGCAAACTCCACACACAATTCGTGATCCCGTACATCTCCCCAGCCTCCCCATCCCTTGAAACCAGCCTGATATCCTGCCTGGTGATCATATTTCCGAACTTCCCATTCTGGTTTGATATTTGCCACTTTATCAAGTTCATCGACAACAATATTCACATTGCCATTGTCCATACAAGCTAGATTACGACTATGACCTTGATGCAAACCACATTTCCCAAAATGAACGGCACTGGTCCTAGACCCACGTAATGTGTAAACTGGAGAACCAAATGAAGGATAAACTGTCGACCACATTGTTATATCCCAATTGTAATCATCAAAAGTGCAAAATCCTGCTGCCTTATTATGAATTTTCCTCCACACTGTCCGGTTAAATGCATAACCCACATTGCCCATCCTTTCTGCAACTAAAGATTCCCATCCCTCTCCCCTCGACTTCACTTCAGATGGCGCTAGATTAGCAGCATAACAATCGGGACACTTTTTTGACTTCAACTCAGTAAGTAACTGCATATTGCGATATGCATTGGGATAAATGAAATGGTCTTCTTCTATGAAGAGAATATGACCTGAGTGGTGACGAGTCTCTGTTAGCCCATCCCACACAGTATTCATCATCCACCACCAATGATGCTTCAATGACACAATTGTTGGTGACCGATGGTTCCCATACTGATCAGGAGTTCCCTCACATTGTTTCTCAACTGGATCATCTTTATCTTTACAATCTCTAGGCGATACACCTGGAAAGCTATTGGAAAAGATGTGAGGTGAGTAAGGGGCAAATATTTGTTTCACTTGGCAGAACTTGATGCCTTCCACAATCTTGTTCATCTCTTCAAAATATCCATCATGACTAACAATCAGCAGAGTCTCACTAATTCCTTCCACGCGAGAAAGGCTATCGATCACGATTTGAAGATACTGAGGCCGGTTATGAACATACAAAACAATAACTACATGATCTTTCACTAACTTTGGATACAAATCCAAGTTTCTTGGAGGGATCTGATTCCTCTTATTCAAGCTCACAGACAACTCATTTTGCAAGAGGAGTTTCGGAATTTTCGGTTCAATAATTTCAATACTTTCAGTACTCTCATAAATGTCACTGTTTATCAAACTAGAAATTGTATTACTCCTAAAGAGAATCAAAATTAAAACTATTCCAAACACAGTTATCAATGCTAGAGATACTAAACGCCTAAAAACTGCATCTTTCATTTTTCCTTTTTTACATGAAGCCATAACTAAACTATCTCTATAACACACACAAAAAGAAACAACCCTATCAAGAACAGGAAATGAATCCAACTTGTTAAAAGCTAAAAAAGCTATCACCAAAGAACTGACATTAAAACAGTAGCTTACAGATCAAAAAGGAGAATCAAGAATCTTCAAAGTTGGATTTTTTAGCACACCCAATGAAGAGATTTACAACCCCAACAGTACTGAACTTGAAGAATTTCAGATGTAGTGATGAAAATAGACAAACCCCATCAATATGGAAACTAGAGGGTTTTTTGACAAATTCCAAAAGGGAGATAATATCAAAGATTGATCAAAACTATATGAAAATATCAAATTTTGGAGGCTCAGATTTATGGCAAAATATCCAAGAACAGTCAAAGTGTGCAATAAAGTCCAGTACAGAAACGACTAATGAACAATTAAGAAGTGAAAAGTCTTGTGGACACAAAAGTAAGAGACCTAGATCTTTTGGGGGCTAATCTAGAGATATGATAGACTTTGGGTTCTTCAGTGGAATTTTCACAAAAGTACTAGAGGGGGGTGGGGGGTTGTTAATAAATTGAAGTAGATTTAAAGTTAAACTAAAAGAGATCACATCATAAAGTTCATTTTCGACCTAATTGGACTTTTCTCTCCCCTCTCATATAAAATATCAAATACTTATCTAAATGCATAATTTATTTTACTATATTTGTAAAATTTCTATTATTACGTTATTTAATAAAGTAATATATATATTAATTAATTAAGATTATGTAAAATGGATTGTAAATTAAAATGCATGGGGTGAATGTATTGTATTATCCGGTGCGGATATGTTTTTTCATTTCTTACTATTTAAAAATATACAAAAAAATTCTACTCTTTCCTATACACCACTTAACGCGATGTATCAGGATGTTGAATAACGTATTCGAAATTGATAAGTAATGTATCGGGACGTTGAAGAGTGTATCTGAAATCAAAACGCGGTGAATCAGATTGTTTTAAGGTGTATCCGTATTCCATTAAAATTTAAGAAAATTTTGTAATTTGAAAAAGAATAGAAATAACATGTAATTAGCTATTAGTACTATATCTATAAAATTCCCTATAAAATATACTACTAGGTATTGGTGCTTTGTATTGGCGATTTGTGTTGATGGTTGGTGATTATCTATTATGGTGATTGATGATGATGATGATCTTCAGTATAATAAAAGGTTTATGTGATAGGCGAGAGGAGAAGTGTTGTTTGCAAGCGAACCCAATAATGCCACGAGGCGGAGAGCCTTTCGATGAAGCCTGCATTGATAGATTGGTGATTAGTGGTGTAGTCAAAAATTAGGTGAAGAATGTACAAAAATCTCATCTCAAGTGTGTTGAAGCTTTACAAAATTAAATATACGCTCATAATGTTGACAATTGACATTTACACGCCACATATTTTTTGACAAATTATACGCTAGATGACCGTTTTGCCTATTATGTTGGTGATGATGATTAGTAGTGACAACTGAAAACATCTAAACTATTGTGATTTGAGGCAATGATGGTTATGGCTAAGAGTAACAAATGAGTGAATCAAATTGAATATGAATCGATCAAACGAGTTACATAAATGGATAAAATACTCAATTCAACTCATACCTTAAATAGATAAAAACGAGTTACCTTACGAATAAAGTAAATAATTATTATAGTAAAATCTTGTTCAAAGGTTTCAAAACAAAATATTTTATCACACACGTCACCCTCACTCCCCCCCCCCAAAAAAAAATCCCTTCCTAAAAAGAAAGTTAATATAGATTTGCTTCAGTACCCCCACCACCCCTTAATCAACACCAAACATAAAAAATATATAAATACTTTTTTTTATGAATAAATATTTTTTATTTATTGTACCCATTTCACCATCCGCTTATAATAAGTAATATGAATATTATTCATCCTTTGTCTATTTAAATGAATTGAATATCCAATTAATTTAAAACAGATAAATATGAATAAATACTTATATAAATTATCATTCTGTCACCCCTAGTTATGAGAAATAATAATGGTTCTGGTTGGTGAGTAGTATTAGTATTTGATAAATGATAAATAACGAATTCAGTTAGCAATGGAAGTAGATGGAGTAATGCCATCTTTGTTAAAAAAGAAATTTGATAGATAACATTTGGTTAATGATATCAATACTTTATTATAAATCTTATTTAAATTTTTTCAAAGTCATAAATAATATTTGACTATATCTTTTTTTAAAAAGAACCTTAATAATTGCGATTTAATTAAAATGTTAAAATAAATCTATTTAATAATATTTTTTAAAAAAATAGGAGAGCATTCACATATAGTCACTCAAAAATTATCTAATTATTCTCCATAACTATAGTTTGATAATTATAATTCGTAACTACATGATATAGGGAGGAGAGAGGCGAATGAGACTGGGAGAGAGAGGCGAGAGGCGAGAGAGAGGGCAAAAAGTGTAAGAGAGGTAAAATGTATATGTATATCGCTTAGATAATTGTATATTATACATATGCATATTTATATATAGCAAGCGAGATAGGGAGGGAGAGAGAGAGGCGAGCGAGATTGGGAGAGAGTTAAATTGTATATGTATATCGATTAGATAATTGTATATTATACATATGTATTTGTATATTATGACGAATTATACATTTATAAATGTGGCTAATTGTACACACTCGAAGTCAGCCCACGTAATTAATATATATGTTAGTCGTGAGTGATAATTATAACAAACTATAGCTATGATAAGTAATTAAATAGTATAAATTTGCTTAACCATGTAGTTTTCCCCTGGAAAAAATAATTTTGATAAAATCTGAATACTAAGATTCAAACTTTATCGTGTTGATAAATGAATGAAAACAAATAAGGTTTAAATAAGTGATTGATAAAGATGTATATATTCGTCAATTTTATCACTTAATGTGGAATTTGTTTTTATTATGAGCAAGTTATTATTGAAAAAATATTTACTTCAAATCAGAGGTGGATTTATGTAAATCGAAGAGCTTGTCACGTCATTTGAGGGTTTCTATTGAAATTATATATATAATGAGAATACATTCACGATGGAAAATATTTAAAGGAAATTTTAAAAATAGCTAAAATTAGATTAATAATCAAGTACAATAACTATCATTTGCTTAATTACGACTGGTAGCTACATGGGGAGAGGCGAGCGAGATTTGGAAAGGGAAGAGAAAGATGAGCAAGAAAGAGGCAGAGAAAGGAGAGAGGCTAATTGTATTTATATATCTGCTGAATAATTGTATATATGTAACTAGTATGTATATATGTCAATGATTGTATTTGTATGTCTGCTGATTGTATATGTAATTAGTATGTATATGGTCGACAAATACAGTTTGTATCAATGTAACTGTATCAACGGATATAATTGTATCAAGTTCGTCATTTGTATGAATATTGTATCAACCAATACATATACATTTGTATTTTGTATCGATGAAAAGAATCTATATAGTTGACACTCATCATTACCATATGTAATAATTGATTGTTATCATTTGTATTTGCATTGAAAGAGAAGAGAGATATAGAGGCGATAGAAGGGATCATAGAGAGGAGAGATGCGAGGAAGAGATGGCCAAGAAAGGAGAGAGGCAAGCGAGAGTGCAGAGGGAAAGAGAAAAAAATAACTACAAAATCCTAACTATAACTACAAATTATAATTCTTTCAAAAACTACAGTGGTGTATTGTAAATACATATCACTTGCAGATATTGAGAAGCATCACATTGGTAAATATCATGTGAAGATACAAAAAATATCAAGATTTTCTGTAAGATTCAGATGCTTACTTCTGAAATGATTGTCAAAACAACAAAAAAGCACTTGCATCATGTAGTAGAGACCTTTGTTACCTTCTCTTACATTATCATCTTTCGTATTCAAAACGAATCTCCAACTCCAGGAAATTTCGGAAGTGTTTTCACTTTTTCAAGGACTTAAAAAGTACTGCTGTCACATATTTGGTGCGAAATCTATGTGTTGAACTTAGTACCACCATTGATTGACTGCTACGCGTTTTCTGTATGTAAAGATGGTTCAATACTGCTGGTAATGGCTTCCGAAATGTCTCCACACTACCAGCAGATGAAGACGGTTGGTCCAGGGGTGTCTGTTGCAACAGAGGCGGCAAATCAGGTAGTTTTTCGCTAAAATCTTCTGAACTGAAAGGTGCATTGCTATAGCTTGACTCAGGGGAAGGAGGTGCGTCTGACCAATTGGTGTTATTTAGGACCTCTGGAATAATATCCTGCATAACATATGAGTTAAAAGAAGAATCATTGTGTTGATTATAGGAAATGATAATGACATAACAGCGTAATAGTCAGAGACGATTAACATGCTCCTTATAGACTATTGTCCTTTAGGCTTCATCATATCAAGCAAGTAGTAGAATCTTCAGGTTCAGCACAATAAGGCATTTGCAGTAACAGTATACAGAGAGGTCACCTAGCTTGCTTGGAAATATTAGTGGCAGTGGCTAAATTGTCTTGCATTTTAAAAAGGAAGCAAGCACTCGAATTAACTAAATCTGAAAGAACTCCGTCTTCGAGCATTGCAACTGTATGATTGTGCAATGTCTTTTCTAATGTCGAGTGCCTGGTTTTAATTGAGCTCTAACATCACCGTAGATCTTAGTAATTAACAAAAACTTAGATCTTAGTAAAGCCGGAGAAGATTAAACAAAGATTTTCCCAAGTGTAAAGGTGTACAAGATACTGAGAAGTAAGAGAAAAGAAAACAACACACAATGCCATAGAGCCACAGATAATGCTTTTTCTTGGCCTCCCCGACCAGATTCTTTTTCAGAAAAGACTAATTAGGCAGTTATATTCATTACACGTCTTTGAAATCCAAACTATTGATAACAGATTTACAGGTGAATCCTTTCAGTTTTAAGTAGTATATATCCCAGATGATACAATCTCGTTAGCACCCCATGATATAACTAACAGATTAAGCACGTTGAAGGAGTTTAGTTTTGCTTCTTCGTATTGCTTTTGTTTTTTCACCTTGTTTGGCAATAATCTATTTTTCTGGTCTACATGTGAGTCGTATACTTGTGGGATTACATATTGTGTATGTTGTTGTACATGTGAGTGATATAACAGCTATTCTTACATTAGATGGTGAATTTTTCTATGCCCGTTGAAAATCTCGGAGGGCACAACGGCTGAAAGAGCAAAAATTATTATTAGGCCTGGAAATAGGTAACGATAACTGCATCAGATGATGACAAGACCTGGATTTAGGAAGCAGCACTGTAACCTTATCTTCAAGCTACTTGTTTTAACTTCAGATCTTATCCCAGTATCTCAATCTTGTCACTGCCTAACAGGACTATTTACCACCTTTTCCCTCAAATACTTTAGCATATAAATAATTTATGCTTTCACAACTAACGTCTCGCCAGTCATATTGACATATGCAAATGGATGATCATTTTACTGTGGCATATATCGACAAGGAGATCAAATGAATCACACCGAGTATCCAATGTTGAGAGCTAAATCAGAATGGTTCACAAAAGATTACCTGCAAGTCCAAGACATTGAACACATTTCCCGTATCATCACGTTCATATGGATAATCTGGAGCATATCTCCATTGTCCATCTACAATAAACCGGTAATGATACACGCCTGATGGAAACACCTTCATGACAGTGAAGTCTTTGTCTGTTCTTTGTAGGAAATCTCTATTGTAAAAAAAAGTGAAATCACTTCGTAAACAAGATTACGGGACAGAATACAACAAAAGAAAGAAGAATCAATCAGACATACTTTGTCTTCCAGCCATCCCATGATCCCTCAATAGCAACTTCATGTCCCCCATGACTCCATGTGATCATTGTTGGTATCCCATTTTCACAAGGCATATCCCCATACTCCATTGTCTTTTGCACTATGTTACCACTTTGATTTTGCATTAATATTTCATCAGGCCTTTGTAAGGGGAAAATTGGAACCTGCAGAATAGAGTTTCTATAAAGATGAATAGTTGGAATCTAACTGAACATAGAGGAAAGTTTCAATACCTGAATTCTACTAAAAGTTCCACTGAGGAAATGAAACAAGTGAGCTGTAAAAAAACAAGGGGCATATATTTATGCTTCATATTTATTATGTCAGTTGGTCCCCTCCATATTATGTGACTAACAAATGGCCAAATGATCTTCTTTTGAGTCCAATAACATACCAAACACAACACATTAACCCCACAAAATTTGTACAACAGGCAGGAATCTTATACTACTGCCACTTAAATCTCCAACCTCCAAAATTAACTTACTCCACTTCAGGCAAAAACCACCTACCAAATATATTCTTCATAAAACACAATTATAGTTCAAGAAGAGCTTTAAAACAATTTAAGCATTCCCTTCTAAAGTATACTGCCAAAAAGTTAAACGAAAAAGATCTACAGTACTTATAGAAGACTTGATTTTCTTGAAACAGATACATTACATACATATAACACACACCTTCACTCCAAATAAAAGAACACCAATGACTTGCCATAACACAAGGTTAAATAGGTAAGTTATGGTACTAGGTCTAACTAAATCTAAAACTAAACTCATCAGGTGAAGATTGTCTATGCCTATATACGTAAACCACCAGTCCATTGTTCAATCAATGTGGGATTCTAGCCACTCTAACACCCCCTTCGGGCTACGCCCAACTGGTCCATATATATATAGACCAGACTTTGATACTATATAAAGATATGATTATAACAACAGTATATCCAGTGAAATTTCACAAATGAGGTCTAGGAAGGATAAATGTCCATATCAACAACATACTCATTGAAATTCCATAAATAAGGTCTAGGGAGGATAAATGTAAGCAGACCTTATCGCTACCTCGTGAAGGTAGCAATATTGTTTCCAAGAAACACTCGATTCAAGAGCAACAAATCATATACAAAGAAGAAGGAGACAGCGAAAAGAATACAGCAAGCAACACGGAGTTGGTGCAAAGTCTACAATGAATATATGACATTTGAGTCTAATTTAATTTCAAAAGGATTTTGCCTAAGTCTATATAAGTAAACCACCCGTCCATTCCGCTACTGATGTGGTGGGGGTGCTAATCCACTCTAACATAATAAAGAAAAAAATTATATCTTGATAATGCCAACCTAACTTACATAAAAATATACTATAACACTTATCTCCTCTTACCTGTGGAGTGAAATCCAAAGGAGAGTGATGATAAGCTTTAGGACTATGAGGAGGAGACTGAACCATAGAATCTGGAAACAAACCATACTCCATATATTCCTCCTCTCCATGTTCTTGATTCTTGATTCCAGAGCTCTCTGCACTTTCTCCTTCTTTCTTCTTCCCACTCACATTCCCCATTACTGCATAATACAAAAACCCCAATTCATATCTCAAACAAAATCATCTAAATTCCATATCTAAACCTCAAAAAAACACATAAAAATCAAATCTTTCCTAATATTACATATACACAAAGACTAAAGAAAAGGTAAGCCATGCCAGTTAAAGGGAAAAAAAACTAGATATACAGATAGAGAGAGAGATGAAGGATTTGGTAACTTACCCATTACTATAATTTTACCTTTATATATGTATAAAAATTTAGAGGAACCCCAGAAAGCAGATCAAGAATTTTAACTCAAAGAGCAGGTAACATGATTTCTGCAGCTTTGTGTAATTGATTGATGGAAAGCTTTTTTTGTCATTTTTCTCTCTTTTTACTTCAACTGCTACTCTTTGTGATGAATAAAGAAAAGGCAACTGAAATAATGGAGTTAAAAAAAAAAGTGTTTTTATTCTCCAATGAGTTTGGAAGATACTTTGGTAGACTAATGATGCTTTGTTTAAATAAAGGAATGTTCCATTATTTTGGAAAAAAGTTTCATCAGTTTTTTTCTTTATATATATTATACACTGCCAATCACATCTTGCAAACTGCACATTATATACTTAAATTACTTTTTTACCCTTTTAACCGTTCAAAATCGAATCGAAACTGATAACTTGAATAAATATAAGTTGCTAGTTTTATCGATAATGAGTTACTTTAGTTTATCAGTTCTAATAATGGTTTTTTTTTAAAAAAAAAGAAAGGACAAGTATACTCCGAACTATCGTAAACTGTATGCAGATATATTCCGTCATATTTTTGAGATATTGGTGCCCCAAGAACTAGAGCGTATATGTCATTTACTCTAGTGGAAGTCTAAACAGGGACACGTGGCGCAGTCTTATTCATCGATCCGATGTCGGGTCGGTCGATAAGATTATGACAAGTGTATTTCCGTTAGTATAAATGATATATATGCTCTAGTTTTTGGGTCCCTAAATGTGAAAGGGGTATCTGCATACCATTTACAATTGATCGGGTGTATATTTGTCCTTTTTCCTTAAAAACAATATTGAGTTATTGATTCTTAACGGTTTGAGGTTTTTCTTAACAGATTGACCAAAAATATGATAGTAAATTAAATGATTATATTTATATCATTTTATATAAAGTCCTTGATTCAGAGTTTAATTTCATATTTTTACTTCTAATTTTCTCAAACTCTCGATTATTCTATAATGTGAGTGTTTTTGCTTTTAAGCAAAATGCAATTAATAGTCTTTTTATATAAAAATTTAACGATTAAATCAATAAATTTGATAATAATAAAATATCGATAAATTAACATCTTTTTTAACAATAAATTCAAAAAGTCAAGCCGAACCGATACACAAACCTACTATAAATTTCTAAAATGACCTTTATGGTATCCATGTGAAAAACATTTGAATAGCATTTAATCGGTAGTAAAGATCGGAATAATTTTTCTTATTGATTTTATAACAAATATTTAATTTCTTTACTCTCATATAATTTTTTGACGATTACTTTTCCCCTAAGGTGGCTCCGCCTATGGATCTAGCCATCTAGGCATCTAGCTAGCTAGTGTCCTTGCTATGGCTTTAGTTTAACTATTGTGATTAACTTTTTAATAAATGTATTTAACTCCATGATTAACGATTTATGTTAGTTCCTAAGCATGCATAAAGTAACATTAGTCACTAAATCGATGTTATTCGCTTTTATTTGTCACATTGCATTATTTTTATCTCGAGTTAAAAAGTTTTTAACGAATGAACGAGATTGTTTCTCTTCTGATTAAAAATTTTAATTTATAATTTAGTTTTGTAAAAGATAGTATTGGCAAAGCTAATTAGCGTGTAGAATGATATAATCTTTCATTAAAAAATTATATTGTATAAATCTAGATTTGACAATTCCAAAATTCAAACATTTTTTTAAAAACTTTAAAAATGTTATCTTTTAAGTTAAATAATTTTATATTGTCAAAATATAAAATTTAATTACGTTTTTTTAAGCTTCTTTTCACGTATTTCCGGAAGATAGTGGGAAACAAAGTTCGGAAAGGAACATCGTCCGTACATATTATAGGATAATTTTTTATTTTTATATTTCATTCAAAACAAATATTTTTTATATATATAATTAAGAAGCTATTAGTATTTATATTTCAAATTTATTCTCATTTAGATAACTGGATTTACATGATTAAAGAAATTAGTACTTTTAAAGATATTTTTATTGAATCGGTGAGTAAAAGAAAAAATATAAGTAATTTTTTCATATAAAACTTTTTAGAATGTTTCACTGTATTTCAATGAGAATTTGTTTCAAATCATACATTTTTTCGCTAAACTGATTTAATGAGTAGGAAAATCCTATTGTATAACATAAGTTTCCTATTAACTTGCTATCGAAAAAAATCCTCTTTGCTAATATTATTTATACTTAAATATACTTCTAATATGCTTATAGCTCCGAGATATTTATTTAAATTATAATTAATAGTAAAACTCATAATACAACTTGTTGTCAAAAGTAGGGGTATACAAAATCGAATTGAAAGTCAAATCAAATCATAAATTTATTCAAAAAAAAAATCCGACTAGTGGTTTGGTTTGACTTGATTTGGTGTTGGGAAAAAAAATCCGACTATATTTGGGTTGGTTGGTTTCAAGTAAAAAAAATCAATCCGATATCAAACCAATCCAACATTATATATATAATTTTAAAATTTTATTTTATATGTAGAAATACTTATTTTGATATAATTTTTAAATATCTCTTATACTTTTTCATAGTTTTTATCTTTTTATATATTTATTTCATGTTGAAAGTTAAAATTTTTAATGATCTAATAAAGATTATAGTCCATACATATTGGTAATTATAACAAAGTTTAAATAAAAATCAATTTAATACTAATACAAAAGAAAACAATAATATTAAATATTTATTTTTTAGTTTTACATAGATTTAGACAATTATATACATGATCTAATTTTACTTTTTTTAATATTTAGTCATGTAACTAATACTAATGATCAATTTCATTATGACTTATTAATTTGCAATATTTTTTTACGCGATTTTATTATTATTTTTTGTTGGATATTTTAGTGTCATTAATCATATCATATTTTTTTGTTATTTTCTTGAGAAATAGCTTGGAAAGTTGCATTTTGGTAGGACTAAAGAAATATTTGAAGTACAAGTAAATTATATGTTTGTTTGAAAACTTTATCGAAAAAACTCGAAGTTGAAAAACCCAAATTTTACTGATTTGATTTGATTTATAAATTTAAAAATCCAACACAAATAATTTAATTTGATATTTAAAAAACTCAAATCAACCCGATCATGTACATCCCTAGTCAAAAGGTTTGAAGAATCTTTTTCTTGTACGATTTTCTTTTGTCATTTTTCAAATTCAAAGACAAGAAAATGTTTAGTTAACTAACAAGTCACGGTTGGTGCACACAATTATATATGGTGACCCTGGATCCTCAATTATTGGATTAAAATCAACTACGTCATAGGGTGACAAATCTATAATATTTTGATGTGAATTTAACGAATCGAATAATTTTTATTTAGACTTTATATTTGTACACGAAAATTCAGTAGAAATATGTATAAGTTAATGTCTAATTGCAATCTAATGAACCACTAAAACGAACTTTAGATTCAACAACTTGACACTTGGATTACAATGAACAAATAAAATATTTTCGAGGCTTAATAACTTGTTACTGAACGCAACAAGAAATAAAAGAACAACTAATTAGGCTTAATAACTAGATACTAAACGCAATAAGAAATAAAAGAATAGCTAATTAGTAAGTAATGAATAAAAGAAATCAAGTAACTAACTAATTTTATTAAAGTAGTTTCTAATGAAATTGTCAAAGTAGTGTCACCATACAAAATTTTCTTCATATACAGGATTCTAACTCGAGACCTCTGGTTAAAAGTGAAACAATTTATCACTACTGCAGCACAACACAACCCTTATTGAGTTGGACACAAATAAATTTCTATTGACATGTGTTATTTTTTATTTGTCCAATTGTCAAGTCTCTATTTTGACCCAAATAATTGATTGAAAAAAACACCATATTTCATATTAGTAATCTGCAAATGTTGTAAAATGAAACAAGCACTAGAAACAAATAAGTTCTCCTTTAATTTGAGCTTATGTGGTTGGAAAAGGGGGTATATACATAAGGACAAGAGTGATTACATTTACCTACCTAAAAAATGTGTGACAAGATAGCCAATCTGAAATAGCCAAAAAATAGCCAAGTGTGATACTGAATAGCTATGCCACCATGAATTATAAACATCACAAATCTCCATGTGAAGGAAGCCCTAGGGATCAGTCTACACATATATAGACTACTATAGAGTTCTATTATTATTATTATTTTTTCTATGTAATCTTTGAGAATTCAAAATTTACTAATTTAATTAATTTAAAGCTATATCGAATAAGAAATGTTTTTATATTGGAACTACTCATAATAGAGAGTGCTAGTTACTATTAGAACATTAGTTAGCCTTCATCATAAATCCTATCGATTATCTATAAATAATACACCATTATGATGTACAACATTGTGACTCGGGAACCAACCCCGATAGTATAGAAAATATTTTTTAGAAAAATAATTTTTGATTCGATAATCGATAGAACCGTACTCTTAACACTTGAACTAGGGCATGACCTCGTTGACCAAATTAAAATTCAACTCTAAGATCCGACCTATGACTTGACCTTTGCTTCCGATTTGAGACAAAACATTCGAACGGTAACCTGACCCAGACTCTGATACTTGAACTTAGACATAATCGCGACAATCGATTTTGGATTCAAACTCGACATTGACGTACCCCTGACTCTAGAACCCGACACCCGACCTCGATGACTAATTCGATACGGACACCTGCTGGTACCCAACACTATTTCCCAACTCTAGACCCCAACATCCAACCCGCACTCAACTTCCAAGAATCTAACCCTCTTATTCGACACGAGACCCGACCCCACCTCTCTATTTAACACCCAAGTTTCAAATCATAAATCGACTACGAGATCCAAATTTTGAATTTGAACTCGATCCCAACATTTGAACGCGACTCTCTATCTAGTTACCGAATTCCAAATTGGAATCCGGCCACGATACCTGATTTTTGAATTAGGATTTGATCCCGACACTCGACATGGGACCTATGACTCGACTTCCAAACTAAGACCCGAAACCAACTCCCAATTTGAGATCCAGCATCAAATCGAAATTGACCATGAGAACTAACTTTAATATCGGGATTCTATCTCGACACAAGACCTCAACCACTAATTCTAAACATAAAAATGAACCCAACACTTGAAATGGGACCCCACTCAACTCTCGATGTAAAACTCAACTTTGATATACGACACGAAACCTCACCCTAATACCTAAC